GGGGGGGGGGGGGGGGGGTGTTCACAAAGGGGGAAAATGTCAGTTAAAAAGGCCCTGGCATAGTTAATGGACATGGTGATAGTCAGGTTAGGAAAAGGACGGCAGACTAAATGGAGGACCAAGTTGTCAATTTTATTGTGAATACGGTTTAGTATTTTAGACCAATGTCTTGTTTGACCTTTCTATTTAATTTAAAAGTATTTAAAGTCCCCGGATAGCTATAGGGGACCAACAAAAATTATTTTTAGTGTTACTACAGGAGGAAACCGGAGTAACCGGTGTTGTTTATGTCACGTTTGGATTTTGTTTATATTTCATGAAATATGCTGTGTTGATTGCGGTGATAGTTTAAATGCATATTACAGCGCATGCGCATTATTAAGATAGTATCCAATAGTCACAATCTCGTACCCACAGCAATGCCTGTGCGCGGGCTAGGATGGCATTGGCTCTGGGGAAATTGAATTTTTCCTGTGCTGTGATTGGTTTAACGTTTATCAATCGTGCACGCCGACAAAGAACCGGAACCCCTAAATTTAGGGGTCCCGGTTGTCAATTTCCCCAGATCCAATGCCATCCTAGCCCGCGCACAGGCATTGCTCTGGGTACGAGATTGCAATAGTCACGGAAAGGACGGCAGTCGCAGATAAAATGGAGGACCAAGTTGTAAATTTTATTGTGAATATGTTCTAAAGCTTCGATCATTTGACATGGTGATTGCTAGATAGTCTTGACGAAGGGCCTTCGCTCGAAACGTCGAGTTTCTGCTTATTTATTAAGGTAGTAATATAACTACTCAGCACAGCATTTTCACTCTGGTACTACCAACACTGGTACAGACAGTTTTAGTATATATATCACAGAAGAAATCCAGTGACAACGATGGTCAACTTCAAGAAATTTTGCCGTAATCTACGGAACGAAATGGTGAGTCACATTACATTATATTTACCGTTTATTGCTAAGCCTTCCCTGCGCTTGCTCGACCTCACTCTATGTAAAACTCGTTTCTCAAGCCACCTTTCCTTCTTAAGTCGTTCTTTACGATATAAAGTCATTCCTAACGGCTTTAAATCGTCTTTTAATTTTGATTTTCACTCGTCCACTAGCCGCCATATTGTATCTCGTGTCACTAAAGTTTGTTATGAACACAGTCGGCGTTTGATGCGCATTACCATTGATTCTATGTCACAGCATATTCAGACTTTAGATTCCGGGATTTCACATGTTAAATCCATTTTGTCTACCTCATGTCCTTCCATTTTAAGAAAGGACATCATCCAATTCATTCGCTTGTTGAATTCTAGACTTTACTCGTTCCTCGAAGCGAGCAAAGCTTCTAAGTTCAACTCTTTGTTAAGCAACCGTCCCATTTCGCCGGCCACCAACCACACCAGTTCAGCCAATACATTTATAGTACCAATTTAGTTGTAACTATTCCTCCCGATTTAACCCTATCCGACTCAAATTTGTTCCCAGGCCCGGGTCCCTTGACATTTTTTCAGTTAAATTAAGACCGACACCGAATCATTTTTCAGACGCTTGCGTCTGAATTAATTAAAAAAAAAAGGAAAAGGCTACTAACTCTTGACGAAGGGCCTTCGCTCGAAACGTCGAGTTTCTGCTTATTTTTTAAGGTAGTAATATAACCACTCAGCACAGCATTTTCACATTGGTACTACCAACACTGGTACAGACAGTTTTAGTACTTCAAAGTAAGGTTTCCGTTTCTATAACGTAGAAAAACTATCCTAACGCAAAACTAAACCCTGATTTTGAAGTATTTGACATGGCCTTTATTGTCGTTTTTGAATTTAATTATTTAAAGTCCCCGGATAGCTAAAGGGGACCAACAAAAATTGTTTTTAGTGTTACTACAGGAGGAAACCGGAATAACCGGTGTTGCCTTGTCAAATTTGGATGTTGTTTATATTTCATGAAATATGGTGTAATGATTGTGGTAATAGCTCTAATGGCACACAACGCATGCGCATTATTAAGATAGTATACGATCAATCCGGTTTTCAGTATATATTGAAATATTAATCTACATTTTGTGATATGATATACAGTTGTTTAAATTAACGTAAACCGACGTATGGAGTTTTCTAAGGTTCTATTTATTTAGTACAGACGATTTACCAGATATAGATCGACCAAACCAATTTAACATATTGGAGTTCAAAGATATCTCGGCGTTGTCATTCCAGATTTCAAATGGACCAACAAGTTTGTGCTGTATGTGTAAAAGTAGAATGATTGGGTTTGTAAGCCAAGGTCCTCCATCTACGAAGTCAATTCGCATACAGCTCGCATAGTGCCTGGTCGCCATATGATATCAAGATTTTGTTGGCATCTCACTTGATTCAATAATAGTTGGAGGGTCTTGTTATTCTTGTAGATGAAAATGATCGATATTTACCCATAACGTAAACATGGCAGTTCCCTGATATACCTGAACATGTGGTTCGAGCTCGACAACTGACGCTGTACTGGAATTACAGGACCACAGGTTCGATTCCTGTCAGGGACCTATAGTTGCATTTTTCGCAGCTCAGTGTTCTTCGTTAGGTCTAATAAATGTAAATAAATTTCCACTCGATAATTTCCACCTACGAGATCCTTCAACTCGTCAACAATAGCATCGTTACTTGGCGACTATAATTTGCATCCCATAGTTGTTCAAACTGCTATTATGTTATTTACACATTTTCACGGCTCATGATCACGCCAACAAAACTAACAGAGTAAAACGTTGGGGTGTTTTATGTGAATTTACTTAATATTGCTACTTCAGGGAATTTCAGGGTTCTTTAAAAGAAAGATAAAAGTTTAGTAATGTATGTTTTGGCTCAAATAAAAGTATAAATAATTTTGTTTCCTGCGGTCGCCGTTCCCACCGCGGTGAAGCAAACTTTTCAGCTTGGACACAATCTGAGGCCTGTTTCATACGTCCAATAGGCAATTCCAGCTTTTAGTTTATGCGTGCAGGGGACGATGGGAAGTAAGGTATCACATTGCTGATTATGCTGAAAAAATAAAAATGGTGGCCGTGTAAACACGGAGTGATAGCTTATACTTGTAAATATTGAAATATTTCGGTTGTTTCGGCAGTTTTTAATGAAATTTTTCAGCATAATCAGCAATGTGATATCTTACTTCCCATCATCCCCTGCAGGCAATTGCCTATTTAATTCAGACGAATTTAATTGGCGTTATTAAATTCGGCAATTGGTCGACATTATTCATTAAAATGATTTCGTTTCAAACGACGAATTTAATTCAGACGAATTCATTTAATGACTAGCGATCATGGATTACTCAGAAATAAAAACCACGAGACCAGAGGCAGAGCTGAAGAGAGAAACAGACTTCAACATAATGTATCCATTTAATCATAGTCTTTCAAAACATGGTTTGGAAACTCCGCTGAACTCTTTGTTCTATCTTTTTGTTCGCGTTTATATGCAGTTTTGCATGTGCACGGTGCACGGTCAATGAACACATTGTATTTCAGTATAATGAACGAATCATCCAATAGCAACGTTTCAGTTCAGTCATTCAACCATGATATTTAAATATTAATAAACCTAAAACAAAGGATGTGCACGGTGTGAGGTACGGCTCAACATAAACTCCCAGCTCATTATAACCGCTTTGAAGTTTACTGAGTTTCCAGATCATGTCCCGAAAGACTATGATTTAATTCGACACGACGTTACGACGTCGTATGAAACGAAGACCCACTACAGACGTTGTACTGATCGTCTGATCCGTCTGATCATGACGGATAAAACGTCTTGGACGAATTTAATTCATCAGATGAATTTAATTCGTTTCATGCGATGCACTACCCGACTACCGTCGCATTTAATTCGTTCGATTAAATTCGTCTGAATTAAATTCGACGATAATGCGACGTATGAAACAGGCACAAAAATTTTAAATAATTTATCTCAGATTGTTATAATATCAAGGCTGGATAGTGATTTTTCAATATATAGTACGGATATACCCCCCACAATTAATAAAATGAAGTTTTAATTCAGTTATACGTACTAAAGTTTAATCTCAGTTATACCAATCAACGGACAATTTTGGAAGGTTAGAAAAATCCACTATTCGGTGATCGATACTGGTTCTACGATTTTTCTCAAAAGAGGGAACAGCTTTATGTATGGTGTCTTTGCAGGCCATACGATCAGCAACGAGAGTTGATCATGACGGTGGACAATGTGACAGATTGGGAGCTCTTATATCACGATGGCCGGAAGACAGTTTTCCGTAGAACACGATCTTAAGTTTCTGTTACACGATGCAACGGTTTGTGAAACCTGTCTCGCAATGCATTGCAACATTACATCGTGTATCAGGATCGCGAAACTCGAATCGAGAAGACTAGCCACCAAATTTCACACTTGTAACTTCCGGCCGGGCGAGAAAAGCGCGCGAAACATTGAACTTTGAATCGTGAAGTTGATGGCTGAAATTCGCTACCGAAGAAAGCGTGCTCTAGCACTTTTGATACCACTTGACTTAATAGACGATGAAACTCAGCAGAATTTGCCAAAAAGAAGGAAGAGGGATACTTGGGTAAGATCATGGATCGAAAGAAGGAAAGAATTTGAGTGTTATCATCATCTTGTAGAGGACGAAGTTTCTTATTAAAATTTCTGGATGAAATAACAATACTTCTGGTTTCTTGGGGACCATGCAGGTATCATACATATCCAAAAACAAAATACAGTTATGCGGGAGAGCATTAGGCCGGACGAAAGAATGGCTCTGACCTTACGATTTGATCATTTGATAATTTAATGACCTTGGGTGTGATTAGTTGCTTGTTCAAGGTGTTTTTCTCGATGTGATTGGTTGCTTGTTCAAGGTGTTTCTATAAACTGACACAGTTTCGTGACATGGAAGGGTGTTACACGTTGCAATGTTTCAAGAAAGGATGCTACACGTTGCAACGCCGTTGCGAGACAGGTTTCATAAATCGTTGCATCATGTTACAGAAGCTTTAGTTAGCGAGGTGGTGATACTGCATCATGAAGACATATGAATGGTCAGCGTAGCTATATTTTCAATACTATGACCTCGATGCTCGGTTGATCTTTACCTGTTCGAGAACTTCGTTGTTGCTAACGAAGTCACTTGACTGTAGCGGATTCTAAAGCCAGTTTTCCGCTTCAAGGCGTTCAAGCGTACCGTACCGAAACGTATCAAGAACATTTTTAAATTTCAAACTTTAGTGAATGTTACTTCCGTGGTACGCCAAAAAGTTGACATGCAATGAACTTTTCATTTTGATACACGAATGCACCCGGAAGTACGTGGATTTATCAATTTCTTTTCAATCTACGCATGCTGACCAGTACGTTTTTTTTAATTATTATTATTATTATGGTTTATTACATATTTTCGCACACGTATGTGAATTGCAATATGTTTACAAGAAAGTTATATATATAAAAAATACAACAAATTACAAATGCGCCGGAATTTAAAAATGGTAAAACTGTCTTACGTTAAATCAGATAATATTACTTTAAACTACTAAAGTTACGATAAAATAATCTATAGTCATTAATTAGCTATATGGTCGTTCTGATACAACATATATGCCATTGCAGGAAAGAAACTGTTCTTGTATCTTTCAGTGCGGCATTTTGGCAGAGAGAGATTGGAACTGTTTCGAAGATTTACTGGGGCGGGTGAATAGGGGTATACAAATCCGCCGATCCGCCCAAATTTGAAGCAAAATCCGCGATCCGACAATGGTCTTGTCTAAATTTGAATCCGCTGAAAGCCATACTATGAAGTCACAATCCAGGATCCGAACTAAATTGCAAGCTAAATCCACAATCCGAGACAAAATATTAGATAAATCCGCAATCCGCTGTATTCATAAGATCCGCAAATCCGTGTTAAATATTCGCCAGATCCGAAATATTTTTTCTGTGAAATCCGACGATCCGAAAACCTATTCACCACCCGCACCCCCC